AAAACAGTTACAAATGGAAGACTTTATTCTATAGATGCTGAAGAATGGTCATATAGTTGCCCAATTAGCTGCATGCATGGGTATCCAGATTGAAGTCTGTTTACCAGCATTCCTTATGCATGGCTGTAAGAGTGGAAGTGATGTACACTTCCTGGAATGTGAGTGTGTAAGCTAGGAAAGCTAGCACAAGAGAAGGGAATAACAACACCATCAGGCTGACACACTTGGAACTACTATTCACACATTTGCTTCCTAGTGTGCAACTGCTCTTTTATTTAGTTTAACCAGTTAGAATTTCGAACTCTCTAAAATAAGACACCAGTCTTATAGATTGAGCCATTGCTTTCTTATAATCATGGTGTTAAGCAGACAAGTCTTGGGATAGCTAATGTCCTCTGACCTTCATTTATCACAAAGTGAGTTATACATGATATATATGCTACTGAGGTAGATAGTTCTGTTGAAGGACAGTCTAGGTTAATGCCATTTGGCAAAACCGTGTTGACTGAGGCTAGGAACATGGATTGCAAGAGAGCAGAAAGAAGCCATTTCTGAGACAGTACTGATGCCCTACCTGTTGACTGTGGTCATGATTGCATAAGTGTTTGCATGCTATATATACTAAGACTATACCATGTTATAGACACATCAATCAAGTGGACTAAGAAATGAACTTGGATGTGCCTGTGTTTACAAGACAGACTAGTAGCAGAGTGGCAGTGAGGAGAGAGACATAGAAATGCATGGCACCCACCAAAACTATGATTTGGGCTCATTCTGCATTAGTAGGAGGGCTGAAATTCAACGGACAAAGGGGCCTCTCTGAAGGAAGACTTTGAAGGACAGTTGTGACTGAAGATACTGAATTGCACACAGGAGAATCTGGCTTTCTCACTGGAGGAATAAGTTGAGCCTGACCACAGGTAATAATAAAGACACCATATCACTACGTGGAGAATGGGGAATCAGAGTGCTGCACTGGTATTTACTGCATCAATAGTCTGAGTTGCTCTTCTTTGTTTGCAAAATGGAACTAGCGATGTGTCCAAAGTGAAAAGCAAGCATGACAAACAGGAAATATGTGTCTGGAACTTTGCAGGCTGTGCCTCCCACTTTGAGGCTCCTGTAAATGAATGCACAGACCCCTACAGTGGCCATATTAAAATGGTAAATAAGCGAGCATTCAAGGTGATGTTCGAGATTCTTCTGTATGTGCTTCTGGGATTTGCTTAAGAACTCTGTTTTCAGGAAAGGAAAAGGCGCTTTTAAATCACAGGCTCCAATGAATGAAGCATCAAAGCATCTGGCAGTATATTTTTTAAGGGAGGTGGGCTCCTTTGTCACTGAAGACTCGGTAGCTTATTTATTTCCTGTTTCTTTACCTCCTTTGGCACATCTGTAGGAATAGGAGGCCAGACAAAGAGAAGCTGTTGTAGTACCCTGTTTAAGATTCTCTTCATGAGATTTGGTTCTCAGCCCGTTTTCTGTCAGGCTTCCTGAAATGGGAAAGCCATGCATAAAAATTCTCAGGCTCCACAGTGAGTTCTCCTCAGTGGCAGACTGGAATTTACAGCTGCCCGTAGACTTCTCCATCTGCATGTCCTGCAGGCATCTCCAATTCAGTACACCCCAAAGCAAATTAATTACCCTTCCACACGCTCAGTCTCCAGCCTTCTATCTAGGTTAGCACCACTGTCAACTTACCATGTACAAAATCTACAAGTGTTGGTTCTTTTATTTTCTATCCCATAGCACTAATGTCAACCTGCCGCTAACTTACACAGATTCACACTGCAGCAGTCTAGTCTGTTTTACTTACTCTGTTTCTTGACTTCCATCTTCCTGGTGAGGCTCTCTCTCTCTCTCTCTCTCTCTCTCTCTCTCTCTCTCTCTCTCTCTCTCTGTCTCTCCATCCAAGCACAGAAAAGGTCTCTCTGCTTTTTGCCCAGAGTCTGCAGAGTCTAAGCTCCAGAGATCTCTATCTATTTCTATTTCAGCAGACCCAAGCATGCCTTGTCCCCAGGGACTGGTAGGATGGTTGCACCTGTCGTCCCCCACCCCGGGCCCCTTCCCTCTTGCTCAGATAAAACAGTGGAAGTTCAAAGTCTGCTGATATATTTCCTTTTCTGAAAACACGTCAGCAGCTTACCATGGGAATCTACAGAATGAAGCCCCAAGCCCACATTTTACCCACTTCCTTTCCCCGGCGGGGGGCAGGGGGGGGTCATTCCAGTATTCTGTGCTGTGCAGTCACACTGAACCCCAGGTCACAGCCTCAAAATCATGTGCAATGTTTAAATCTCAGAACCTTGACTCAGGGAACATTGCAATGAGCGGGGGTAAATTCTACTCCACCTTCTCATCTTTGCTTGCTCGAGGATCATTTCCCTGGTAGAAGCACCTTCATATCACTTTCCTCTTTTCCTCGGTCAAGATGGCCACCCTCACTGGGTTCTCCATGATTTACTTTTCCTGGGGTTAGCACGAGCATCTCTAATGCAGACTTTATAACAAACATCATCTCTAATTGCCTTCTTGGAGTCTCAGGTGTGCTTTGAATTGCCTGTTAACCAATCTAAAAATAATCTCTTAAATTGTTTACTTTAAAACTTGTGATCTTACCCAAAAAGAGCTTTTAAAAGTTTCCCAAGACACAGTTAACAGTCTTTTCCCCACTGCACCCAAACAGAGAAGTCCCTCAGCTCTACAGTATTAAATGCACTTTGTAAAGTTCCTTGCAGTTTTATTATTCCAGGTGCACTGCTACCATAAGAGGCCTTTGTGGACGACGGCTATAAATGTCATTTGTTCCCATTAAGCAAATGTATTATATAGAAGATGATTGTCTAAATTTATGGTGACTATTCTGGTGGGTATTAAATCGGGTAATATATCAAATACCTGTTTTAAAAAGTCAATTCCTATAATTTGAAGACTGGTGTTCCCCCCCCCAAGCTCAATATAATATAAGCATGTTATATGACTGTGAGATACATCAAAAGAGATGCAACCAGATTTAGCAGTTATCTAAATTCAAGTGAAATGCATGGCTTTGTTAAAATTTTAAGGTATCATAGGTGAGATCTGAGGAAGTAATTTATTGAGGTTTCATCCTATATAGTTTCATATTCTGTTTCTCCCTACCTTTCTTTCCCTCTAAAGAGCAAGTGTCTCTCTTTGCTGCCAAGACTGGCCTTGAACTCCTGGATTTAAGTGGTGTTCCTGCTTCTGCCCTCCAAGGAGTTGAGATTACAGGCATGTAGCAATTGGACAATTCTTTTTCCTTTTCCTTTTCTTTTCTTTCTTTTTTCGTTCTTTCTTTCTTTCTTTTTTTTTTTTTTTTTTTGAAACAGGGTTTCTCTGTGTCGATTTGGAGCCTGTCCTGGCATGCTCAGTAGACCAGGATGGTCTCCAATGCAGAGAGATCCACTTGCCTCTGCCTCCCAAGTGCTGGGATTAAAGGCGTGTGCCACCAACACCAGGCTTCTTTTTCTTTTTACAAATTAACAACAACAAAGTCTTCGATAAGAAAACACTAAGAAGATAAACTACCAGAAGCTAGCCTGCTTATTATATCAAATTACATTATCACTTAGCTAAAATGTAAGCTTGAAAAAAAAAAAAGACATCCTCTTTCTAGTGAAGATGTAGCTTGCATATTAGTTACTGAGTTTGAAAATTAGTAACCTTGCATCCAATCATTTGAAAGAGATGTCTGCATAATTTGTTTTACACTTTGCAACACACTCCACCCCCACCCTTGGGCATGCAAAAACAAACAAACAAAAAATAGAAGCCCTATCTTTGACTCTGATCACATGAGACATATGAAGGCCTCCAAAACCTGTTCTGTTTCTGGCCTTTGGCCCTTACCTAGGAAGACTCGAAACAAAACACTGAGCCAAGGCTTGCTTTTCAGCCCTTGCTTCTTTCTGGAGCTATCTAGTGACCACAAACAGCTTGACCCTCAGGGCAACCGAGGTCCCCATGGTTGCTTTGAGGGGCAGCTGTGCCAAGTTCTAAACTGGACAGTGCCACAGACAGCTTGACAAGTGAAAGCCTCAAAAGAAATGCAGTCAGCCCATCCTAGAGGCCTCGGTGCCTGGTATGGCACAGAACACAGACAAAGAGGCAGACGCCAGACAAACACTCGGAATTTCTTTTACAGGAAGGAATGAGTGTCTGTGGCTGGGACTGGGGCCGCACTGCACAGCTTGTTTATGATGCTGCCTCCAGAGTCCTGAAGCTTCATCACATCTGGAGGCATCAGAAATTTCAAGGACTTAAAGCACAGGGCTTCGAAGGTGTTAGCTGCCTACAAGGCCATGCCTTCTGTGGCTGGGGCCTGTGGCTGTGTTCTCACGTGAAGACATCCTCATCCAGACATGCTGCTCTTCCTCATACAGTCGCTGGTCTTCAGGTGACCAATTGAGGATGCCCTCCAGTGTGTGCTTCAACTCAACTCAATGCTCTACTGCAGGCTACCCTGGGAGATGGTGGTGCTGTGGCAGAGGATCTTGAGAAACGTGTCCTGGGACTGTGGGCTGCATCAGTTCCAGTCATGCAGTTCTTTCCACATGCCACTCCTCCTGTTCTCCTCTCCCCTTTGCTAGTCTCTGCACTGATAAAAGTGCTTGATGTTTCCAAAAACGGGAACACATTCCAGAGCTACATAGTGAGACCTTGTCTCGAAAATAAATACGCACAAACCATCATGCTCTAGAAAATATTTATTGACACCTGTATTAATTTTCTTTCCATAATCAAGAAATAAACACAATACACAAAATACAGTAAAATGCACTTTTCCCATTTCAAATAAATATCTTCTACTTCTGTAAAAAATTAATATTCTGTGTAATTTGCCACAGTATATTAATTGGTGAAATAAAGCAAAAATTCCCCCTAGTTAATCTATCACTGCAGATAATGTTGCTTCTCCATAAAATTACATCGACTTTAATACTGTTGCTTCTATTTTGCAAAATGAAAACCTAAGCTCTTTGACAAAGTGTTTATTGTCAAGAAGAATACTCACTTGGGAGAAAAAAGCATCCGAATTTCTGCTGAATCAACTATGTGTAAATTCCCTAGTTAATACTTCTTGCAGCCAGGGTTACAATGATTCTTACATATCATACCAGTAATTTCCAAAATTAGTGGTTAAGAACTTAAATTAACAGTTACAGATGTAATATAGATCCAAGACAGAATTTAAAAGCTCTGTTGGTGGAAAATACAAAAAGTAATGGTGCTATATAAGACAAATTCATCATCTTCAAATATCGTTATTCATAACATTATAAGAACTGAAACCTACTGAATTATACAGACACAGCACAGACTTATATACATATATATCCCTGATAAGCTTAAGACAATGTGTTATCTCTTACAAGTGTTAATAAGATTACTTTAGTAACCAACAAAAACCATATTTAGGTAGTCACCAATCTTGAAAGGTTTTTTTATATAAATTCAAATCATCCTCAAAACAATACATCATTGGGTAATAAAGATCATTAGTATTGTCTAAATTCCTATGTTAGCAGTCAGCTGAGAGTTTATAGGCTAGCCAGAAGAAGCTACCTTCACAGTAGCTCCAATGCCATCATGAATGGTTCATTCCCATGAAATGATGCAGAAAAGATGTTGAAACTGCATCACCTCAAAACATCGTTGTGCTCAAAACACAAAAAGGAAAACATACACAGTGGTTACTAATGCTATCCTCAGCATTTTGAAGGGCACCAGTTATTGTCTGTGTGTTAACATGTGAAACCTTTGCTGTAGAACATTACTTTAACTATGTAAGATGTGTTACATTTGTTTATGCTGCATTTGTTTAACATTGTAAAGATGTGTTGCTTTGCCTGCCTAAGGCACCTGATTGGTCTAATAAAAAGCTGAACAGCCAATAGCTATGCAGAAGAGGGATGAGCATGACTGGCGGTCAGAGAAAATACGAGGAGGAATCTAGAATCCAGAAAGAAGAAGATAAGAGAGAATAAGGGAGAAAGAGAGGGGGATGCCTGGGATCAGCCAACCAGCCACCTGCCAGCCAGACACAGAAGAGGCAGGAGAAGTAGGACATACAGAATGAAAGAAAGACAAAAAGCTCCTAGGCAAAATGTAGATTAAGAGAAACAGGTTAAATTAAGTCTAAAAGAGCTGGTGGGACAAGCATAAGACAAGGCCAAGCATTCATAACTAGTAAGTCTCCATGTCGTGATTTGGGTCTGATGGTTTAAGAAAGCCTGCTACCAACCTTTCTTTGTTTTAAAGAGTGGAAATTATCTGCTTAGACATTCTTCTTGCAGAAGTTCCCCATGTTTAAAAATTTCTGAAACAGATAGCTGTGTACCCCCAAACTCATGAGTGCCACAGGTTTGTGATTCTTTGCCATTCTTCATAATTCCTCCATCTCAAAGTGTGTATTGAAGCTGTTTGCCATTGATGTATGCTCAAAGATCCTGGAAAGGCTTGGTTTTAGCAGTTCCACAGAGTGACATGACAGGTGCTGAGAAGTATCATTCTTCAGAGACAGCATTTGGTCTGTCCCCGGCTCCCGTCTATCATAATATAGAGCCCAGAGCAGAGTAATGGTGAGAATCATGGCCAGGATTTGTGTCACACCAATGGAGATCCCCAGAAACCTTAGCACTTGCAACTGTTTGGTTCCTCTCAAAAAGGAATACATTTTCTTCCCACAACCCTGTAAAAGAAACAACATAACCAATTTCAAAACAGTGGTTTAAAAACAACAATCTGAATCAGCTACTCAAGTTCCTGAATTTTAAGTTATTGACCTTCAAACCACAGAGTGTGGTATGCACTTTGTAAAGTCCCCTTAGCTAATTCTGACCAGCCTTCTTTTGTTTTCCACACACACAGACTTACATAAAACCCAGCGTCTAGAGCAGGACTTATTAAACATTTTGTAATGGTAGCTGCTTTTCACCTAAGAAATTTAATGCAACCTTGGGTATATAGGTTTATAAAAATAGCTATATCAATAAAATATTTACTGACGATAAATCATAAAGAAATGTATTTTAAAACATTTCATTGGCACTGGAGAGGTGATTCAACTGTTAAGAAGACTTGCTTCACATTTAGGACCAGAGTTCAATCCAAGCACCCACAAAACAAGTCGGGTGTCTTTTGCATGCCTGAACCTCCAAGTTAAAGACAGTGAGACAGGAGGTTTGATGGCATTTCCAGCCTGGCCCCAGGTGCTGGGAGAAACCCTGTCTAAAAGACAGAGTGACAGAGAAGGGCACCAGATGTCCTCTTCTGGTTTTTGTAGTTAATTACAGGCTAGTAAACCTACACACACTCTTGGGAGCACAAACACACACACACACATGCAGGCACACAAAAAAATAAAGAAGTAAATATTTTTAAAATTTAGTATGCATATAAATTTACCATTTATGAAAGGCTAAAGAAAATGCATACTATAAACTGGGTGTGCTTGTTGTTTTTAATATGAAGAATTGAATCTTGGTTGAATATTTCAGATTGCAATGTTTTATCCTACAGCATGTGTTTCAGAGTTGGTCAATATTTTTATTTAATATTCAATGCCAAGGATACTGGTTTGAATAAAATACATAGTAGCAGGAGTATGTTCAGGTCCATTTCAGAAACTGTTGGCAATTCTATTTTAGTCTCGTCAACAATTATTTAACAAATTTTTAAGAAACTAAAATCAGTAGCTAAAACACCAATTTTAAAGACCAATTTTTTATATAGTTAAAAGCACTACAATTTGTAGTATAGCACAGTCACATATCTGCACTGATCTGTTTCAGGCAATGCTGTTGACTCTGTATGGAATGAACAAACACAGAGTGCAAAGTTCAAAAGTGTGCCCAGAGCCAAAGCAGCAGTGACTCTTGGGATGTGGCGTGGAGAAGTGTTGTTATAAACACGTTGAGTTCATTACAGGTTTGATTTTGATTTAACTTTTGCCACAAATGTCATAACAACCCATATGGATCGTGAGCCACAGTTTAAGAAGCTATGATCTACAGGAAGTTGGCAAGCTTTTTGGTGTACATGTCAAGTACTAACTGGAGAGTATTTTGGGCTTTGAAGCCTATATGGTCTATATTGCAACTTCATATTTCTGCCATTGTAATACCGAAACAGACACTGACTATAGCTAGGGATAGAGGTTCGGGTGTTGCTATGAAGTTCCATGCAGAGAAATACACCAGGCAAGACTTAGCTCAAGGCCATAGTTTGCAGTTTCACAATCTAGATTTATCCAGATTATTTCAAAACATTGAATTATTATTATTATTATTATTATTATACCATTATTATTATTATTATTATTATACCATTATTACTATTATCATTGTTATTCACTGCTGAGTTCTAGTAATGCCTCACTTGGTCAGAGACTTTCCCCTAAAAATCAAAAGCATCTCCTCAGCCTGCTTCCAAACATGCTGATGCAAGTGTGTAGAGCTGTGCTCCTCACTAGGTCTGCACACTGCACAAAGGGTCTTAATGGGGGTGTCAGTGTCATGATGTAACATCTATCCTACCAGATGTGGATCTGAAACATTCATATTAAGTTCCCATACAAGTCACAGATACCTGACTGGAGAAAAAAGTTAACAAGGTCACTGCTGGTGTTTAGTTTTATGAAAAGAGTCTAACAAGAATCTACATCACATAATAGGAAAGAATTCTAAAGGAAGGGGGAAGGTAACAGTAGGAGAACTATGTCTGTGGCTATAAGGAAGGTATTTAGAAAGCAACTGGGAATTATATTGCTTTAGGAACACGGCCATCATAGATTCTCTAGGGCCTATGATCTCACTTGCTCTCATCCCTCACCTGTAACAGGGAAACTGTTACAAAAATCCACAATGAAGATAACAATTAACTGTAGAGTGCTCCTTCCCCAACTGCTGCATCTGTAACACAAGCCCTACACCTAAGGCATAGAAAACATCTCGGAAGAGGGGGTAGAAAGATTTTAAGAGTCAGAGGACCGAATGTCAGCTACAAGATGCTTGTCATCTATATATTACAGACAGTTGTACTCATGAAATCTCAACAAAATGGTGTCTTAAAAGACCTGCACAGTGACAGCAGCAGCTGGCATCCCAGCCTGGGCAGGAGAAATTTCACAAAGCCCTACTCTTAGATGAAGAGCTATTAGCAATGGGGTGGCGAGAGAGAGAGAGACCACCCCAAGTGGTCAGCTCTAAACACACCTAAGGATGAGTAACACTAAAAGGGCCTATTGTATTGTATTTATACATACATATTGTTATATAACAATAATAATTAAAGAAGAAGCCATGAAGTTAAGAGGGGGTGGGGAGAGGGGAATGGAAGAGTGGACAGAAGGTGGGGTGAAATGCAAGCACAGTACTCATGCATGAATAAAACAGAAGGGAAAAATCCTGACACGGAAAAAAGGGAGTAAAGAACCAAAGAAACGGGACTGTGACTAAGAACTGCAATGTCATCTTCTAGAGAAACCAGTGTTTTGTCTCTAGGGACCTGTGTCCCTGGTGAACACTCAGCTCAGAAATAATTCACTCTGCTAAAAGGAATTTAATTTTAAATTAAGGTGAATAGCTGAGATATCATTTTAAAACACATCTTGAAAACCTTGAAGGCTTTTGGTTTCCAGTAAAAGTGACTTAGTGTTTACCCTATAAAGACAGCCACAGGAATAAAAGGAAATTCATACATATTTAAATTGCCACCTCTTTGTCTTCTTTACCAGAGTCCAAAAATAATTCATATGTCTATGAGAACTAGACCTAGACGTGGGATCACTTATCATTTCATGTATCTTATTGAAGTTCTTCCATTTGTAAATATACTAGTTGATAATTTTACTCCAGTAATACATCACTTCAAAGCAATAAGAAATCCTATAAAAGTAGTCAGACACATTGCAATAACTGCCCATTCCTGGTAATAAATACTTTAAAGAAAAAAAAAGAAAACAAAGGATTATCCATCTTACCAAAAGTGAATTTAAAGTGCTTAGGAATTTATAACATTTAACATCAACTTGTAGTCATGTCTCTGGCTTTCTTACCACAGCAAGAAAGATGAACATACACACACTGCCATGCACAAATAATCTGTAGGAAACCAAGAGAACTTAACAAAGTTCAACAACGTTTAAAACTGTCCCTCTCAGGTGTTCTATCAGAGCCTAATCATCTTTAAAATGCTCATATATAATCTTTATGTGGAAGAGTGCAGTGCCATTATTAATTAACTGAAGATGCAGTATTCTCACCTGAATACATACAATAGGTTCTACTTGTTTGGGATGTTGGGAGGATTAATAAACAAACATACAGGATTGTGTCTACAGCTCAACTAGAACAAAGGGGGTACTAATTCTGATCTCTGTGTCAGCCTACAGATTAGAAAGCTCAACTAAATGCAGATGGAAAATTTGATGGCCAGCAGATAGAAAGTGAGTGGCAACACTTTGTAAGATTGTGAAAATACCAAAAACCACAGCATTATGTCACCAACAAATGCTGATGCTTCAACACTTGCCTGCAAGAGCCAAAGTGATTGTATTTTTTAGGAAAGTGAAATCACTATCCAAAACGTCTACCTGCTATGGCGAGATGAGACCATCAGCCTCCCTCCCGACAAAGCAGAAAAATAGTGTATATAATTTAGAAATAGCTAATTCAAAGACGTTTCAATTCAAATGTCTTGGTTTCAGACATGTGGAAAGTTAATGTAGATGGGTACCTCCCTCCTTAACTTTAGCACTGAGAAATATGTATCAGATTCTATCAGCTTCTCAGGAAATGAACATGAAACATCCTTGGGTGATATGGGCTGATCTTTGCCCCTGTTTGCAGTATTGGGGTATAAATATGAGTCTCAGCACATAGGAAAAATTGGTATGGACATTCTAATATTTGCTTAATAAGTTTTAGAATGAAAGGTGAACCACTGAAGGATCCAAATTTTTCAATTAAATGGGAAAAACAAGTTCAAGTACTTAAAAAGCAAAGCATTCAGGAAATATCATGGTCTCAATCCTTTGAAATATAATACATCAATAATTTTGTTTATCCCCTTTCAATAGTCCCTCAAACTTAAATTTTGTTCATATATTTTTTCTATTTATATCAAGTCTCGCTTCCTTTTAAAATAATTTATTTTAGGCAGAAACCTCATAGGAGAGGTAATATTTCTGTTTCAAATATGCAGGTAAAGCATAACAGAGGTTAGTTAGGTACAATCTGTTGGGCTTCCTATTTTGGCATTATGGGAAATCAGTGTTGATATTTTTCAACATCAAATTTAGCTTTTAAAAGGCACAGTAAATCGTATTATCTAGGATGCACTGGGAATGAGATACATTAGTTAATATAGCCTGTTCTAGAGTGAGGTGGATCTTGGAAGTCAGTAGGCTGCTTTTCCGTTTTTTTAAAAAATCATGGGCTGAAAATTAGTGACATCAGCGAAGTGTGTGCCTAGTAAGATTCCTGAGCAGTGTCTTCCACACAAGCAGTGACAGCAGAGGAGAACCATCCAGAATCAATGTTTTCAGAACTCTGGGAAATAGCCAAAGGTTTGCAGCAATCCGGGCAGCATGTATTCCAGAAAGCACCTGGTTTTCAGAAAGAGCAAAAAAACCTTGTAGTGTGGTCCCTGCTCTATCTTCTCAACTCTGCAGTAGCCTTGAAAACAAGC